TGAATTCAGTTCCCCCACCCCCCCCCCTTCCGCGCAAGTTTTGACGGCTTTGATGTTCCATTAAATTATATGGAAAGAAGACGATTCGTTGTACCGTTCAGTTTCGACTAGGCGTTGTGGCATGTGCCTGTAATCCAGCTAACAGTGGAAGTCGCAAAATGATTCAGGCGAGGACGCAGGTTCGAAACTGAGTCACGTCTTTCGGATGGTGACGTTTAAAGGTCGGTCCCCAGACGTAAATAATCATATTTGATTGACACACGTCTGTAAAAACCCATCACACACACACACACACCCATCTCGCGGAAGCTATGACGTTTCATTAAAGTATTAGAGAAAGAAGACGTTCGGTGTAGCGTTCTCGTCTCTATATCTGAATTAAGTTTCCCCCCTCCTGCGCGAAGCGCTGAATTTTTACGTTTCCTTACATTTTCAGAGAGAGTGCCGTTAGTAACTTGAAAGAGCTACCGGTACTTACCTATACCTTTGCATGGTGGCATTTTCACACCGGCGAGGACAAGCCAGAACGGGTGTGAACCACTAGACCCTGCAGTGACTGGTCGGAGGATGTCGGGAGTTCCATATCGTCAATCGACCTCAATGCTGTCACGGTGGCACTATATCAATATTAGTACTCATAACTTAACACAACATAAGAGTAATTGTAATCACCTCATTCTTTTATAGTCCATTTTTATTGCCATACATAGTTGTAACCACTGCCTTGTGATCAGAGGTGGTAATCCCGGGGGGCGGGGGGACACGTCCCCCCCCCCCTCGATTTTTTTTTAGAGGGGGGATCGTCCCCCCTCAAAATTCGAAAAAGTGCAACAACAAAAATGTACAGCAAATACTGACTAAAGACTACAACACACGTTTAGGCTTTGGAAGGCTTAAGAGTGTAGCGTTAAGACAAATAAAATGCAAAAATCTTCTTACTCGGTGGCTACGCTCCCTTTTATAATATCTTTCAAAAGGTACAGGAATACCGAGAAAAGTGAAGTGTGAAAAAAGTATATTGCTTGTTTTTATACTTTAGTTTTGCTAAGGACTGTAATTTTTTAATACAACAAAACTTCAAAAACCTGTGAAGGGGTTGTCAATTCCGTCAACTTCACCCCTCACATTCACTATTGCTCCCTCGATCGAACCTTCATACTGATGGGGGCTTTAGGGGCAGTCCTTCTCCCCCCCCCCCCAAAAAAAAAAAAAAAAACAACAAAAAATGAACTTCAATCGTGGTTTATTTCAAATTCGATACTAGTGATTTACAAATGTTGCTGAAATGGCATGATTTTTCCCCTGAGCTTTTTGGCGCGCCCCCTGGATCTCGCTCCAATTAGTGACCTGCATGCCAGTGTCACAAATAAGGTATCAAAATATGCTCACCTGACCGTAAATAAATGCCTAAAACCCCTGAGCTTCATGGGGCTCCGCCGGGGCTTTGCCACTGGACCCCACGTCAATTTACACTCCACTTTGCTTTGCTTTGCGCTACCTGAGCGTAAATACTTTAGCCCCCCCCCCTCCACTTCGAAAAACGTTCCCAGTGCCTGCATAGCATGTAAGAGTGGTGGTGATGCGGATTTTTTTTTTCTGCCCCCCCCCCAAAAAAAAAACGAGTTTTTTTCTCATTACGCCACTGATCCCTCGTCCCTCACATTTCGTCCGCCCCTGCTTGTGGTTCAGGTTATCTTTCGGATCTAAGGCTAAGGGAGCAAACCCTTATACATCTAACCGTCTTCAAACTTCTGCATTAATATAGTACAAGAGGATCGAGCAAGAATACCGACACTGCAGCAACATAATCTATGCGTATCTTTCTTGCTCCCTCGACCAGACGACTCCATCCAAAAACCCCCTCTCTTTTACTGCCACCCTCCTCTCTCAGGCTCTTACCCCCTTTCTCTCCTCTCTTTCATCCCCCGTTTCTCTTGTTTCATGTTTCTCTTTTCCGTTCATTTTTCCTTTTCTCCTTTTTTTTCTTCTTTTCTTTCTTTTTCTTTCTTTCCTCTCCCTCTTTTTTCTCCTCTCTTCTTTCCATTTTTGTTCTCTCCCTTTCCCTCTCATTTCCCCCTTTTTCTCATTTTTCCAGACGGCATCGCAATTTTAGCGACAGTATCCCGACAGGTAGGGGTTGTCGCACCCCTCACACCCCCCCCCCCCTTAGCGACGCCCCTGTACAGTGCAGTTATACGAATTACAATACATACGTGGCATTATGCTTGCGCACACATATTTAATGTCTTTGGGTGTCATTGTTTGTGAGCGTATAGCTCGGTATATATATATCCCTTCACCTAATAATAATACATTTTTATCGGCCTCTAGGCATATCAAGTTTTATAGCGTATTTTATGGAATAATTCGGTCCAGTAAATTTGGAGCAAATCAGGCTACTATAGAAGAAAAATCTTAATTAAAACCAATTTATTTCCAGGCTGGACTTCCCTTCATTGATACTGTCCCATTTGCAGCCAACATCAAATTCCGTAGAACTTTGCAGGAGTAATGAATATGTCACGTATGGTTTATCTGTGAGATGTAAACGTTAGCACTGTCAAATTAAAATTTTGCAAGGAAATATGTTTACTTTCTAGACTTCACTGTCAAACATTATCGAGTAAACTGACTGATTGAACCTTTGAGCAGCACAAAACGTACACCATTCGGTACAAGGGTCTGAAAATAAGAGTATTTAATTTAAGGATTGCAATCCCTAAAGTCGATTTAAGCTTTTCACTTTTTGGCCAGCAAATGGGACATAGTACCTTTAACGAACAGGGGGGGGGAGGGGGAATTGTCCCCGGGGATGATTGTCCTCGGTCTTCCTCCGGAAAGGAGTGGGGGGGGGGGGTAATTGTCCTTATATGCATTGAAATGTACATCCATAAAGATATAGTATATAATAAAACTCTTTATTGATATAAACTTCTTTACTAACATTTACAAAAATGTTTGACAAATCAGCTACAAAGAAAATGAACTGCAATTGATTGTATGATGAAGTAACTGTTATCTCAAAGAGCATTATTTTATGGGGCACCTTTATCAACATCATCACATTGAATGACACACTTCCACAGCTGCAAAGGTGCATACAAAAAGTGTCATGATAAATCTGTGTGTACAAGGGTCTTTATACTTATTTATATATGTTCTAGTAAAGGGGACATGAATGATGAGTATTTCGTCAACCACACGTAGCCGAAATTCAGCTTGTGGTATATGGCTATTTACACGATTTTTAAAATACTCTTTTGAGTACCGACTGCATGCAAAAAAATATAATTTTATAATGAAATCATTATCAATCGAGTAGAAATAATTACTCAAAACCTTAGTAGGAAAATCCTGCTTACATTACTTCCTAAATGATCAAATTTGACCAAAAATTCTTGAGTTATATTAAAAAGTCTTTTGGGAACCAACTTTTTTGATGAGTGTTTACTATTACATGTACTTTCTTTACAAAGTGCTTTACCATTAATTTACCAAAGCGCTTGGAGTATTTTTCTTACTTTGTCACTGAGATCATTACTATTCTGTACATTACAGTACACATTCTCCACTCCCTGGGGAGCATTACGGCTAGTTGCATTTCTACACGAGTACACATGCTAATCCAACTACAATGACATTTGCATCTACCCATTTAACACCTAAGAGGAGAGTAGCAATGTAGGTAGAATAAGAATACCTGGCTCAAGGACATTTCCTTGCTAATATTACTCACTGGACTATGACTTCCCTTCCACTACTACATGTATTATAATGAACACTGCTATACAAAACTCTCATTAAAACACAGTCATTTTGCTGGTTCCACTCTATTTGATCATATTTACGACAACAAATATATAGGACATGGAAATTACTAAAGGGAAAATATATTTGTTTCAGGGTTTCAGGTTTTTTTTATTAATTAAACAAAAAACATGTTTTGTACATATTTTACTGTTCAAAACATGCTTTTACTGCTTTAATTTTCCCAAAGTGAGTAACAGTAATACCAGAAATGACTGTGGCGTATCTAGGTATAGGGCAAAACTATTATATATATATGATTCTATGACAACAAATATACATGGAATACATGGAATTTACAGAAACTAGATCGTTCCTTATTAATAGTTAAAGACCACTTTGGATTAAGTGAAATGGTTACAAACAAGACGAAACAAGACTAGCTGGGTAATTGCAATATCACTTTTCAAGGTTCCCTGCTACAATCTTTCCTTAAAAGATAAATCTGAGTACTGGTCTTGTGTTTACATTACAAAAGGACCTGCCAACAACTAGGATGGCCATTTTCGTACTGGGATCAAATTAATGCACAAATTGTTGTTATGTACATGTACATTGTTACTAATTATTTCATTCACCTGTTACAAACAAATTGCATATATTACTTTGTGTAAGGTAAGGACCAGCCACAATGTTTGTCCTACATAGCATCAATTGAAATACAATTATTCATAACAGGTGAAATAAATCATTTCAAATGAGGCACTTAACAAAGATTTGTGCATTAAATTTGATCACATTATGAAAAAGCATGTAAGAGTTTATGTACATGTATATTGCAAGGGTCAGAAGAGAGCAATGTGATATAGAACTGATAAAGATCACATGCACTGCACATAAAAATGAGTATATGGGACAAGTACATATGTACCACAAAAGTTTGGTCCAAAATTTTCAGCTATTTCGTGTCATATTTAAGTATGAGGTCAATTGAATGTGAAGAGATAACATTTTTAGTGGACATTTGTAGAAAGATACCTTTTATGATATTCTTCCAAACTGATCCCCCCTCCCCCCCCCCAAAAAAAAGGGAATCAAAAGAAATAATTTGTTATGTTCACTAGAACTCCATCTTCTCTCCAAATGTAATGAGTTGTATCTATTAATATATTCAGTTTCTTGTTCAGAACTGATCTAAGAGATCATCTACATTATCAGTCTCTGTCTGACTTTTCTCTCGCGATGGAGTTTTCCTCATAGAGGGTGTCCTTGATGTTGAAGGAGTCCTATAAACAAACACAGAAAGGGAGATCTTAATGTATGCTTGTACTATAAACATAGTGAATTTAAGATTTACACAGTCCAATGAACAGACAAAGCTACAGTTTATGATCTTGCATGAATGATGCTTTTGTATTGTCTTCATCAGGTTCATATTTGATCCATTGTAACACTTTTACTTTGTCAAATATTAATCTGTAGAGCATCAGCACGGTGGTCAATACGAATCTCAAATTTGATTTCTAGAGAGATTTTATTTCATGTTTATATTCACATGTCCAGTGTTACATAAGGGTTATTCCAAGAGAGTTTTGGCAACAAATAAGATCATGTCCATGTAATGTTGGTATGTGATCCACTACTACACATGGTAGATGAAATCACCTGATGAAGATTTATATGTAATGAAAAGAAACAGTAGTGCCCTGCCAAAAACAATGTGTCAGTTGCCCCTGTTCAAAATATTTGCTTAATATGCATTTCTTATTTTGTTTACCAGCATTAAAAGGACATCACATTTCATGTACAACAACTTTTGGTCAATAATATTAAGTCACCATAAAGTTAGAGAACTTCTAAACCTAATAAGGAATCCTTTTTATGCTAAACTTAATTTGAGCAATCATTATGGTTCATAGGAGACATAGTTTCTAACTTCTGGTATGTCACAAAAATTGCCCCAAACCCATGGAATAACCCATATCTCATTCATAATTCATGCCACATTTTTATATTTTGAGCTACTAGGCAGTGATAAATCTTGGACACTTTGCATGTAACAGAATGAAAATTAATAATAATTTCCTCAATAATTTCAATAATTATGATAATAATAATTTCTATATGTTCAATCTTAAATCATATTGTATATATGTACTATGAAGGTATATGTGCATGTATGTATATATATAAATATACGATAATAAAAATATATACATGAACAATATGACAATAATATTTTCAAAGTCAAATCAAATCATTACGGTACTTGACAAAGCTCCAAGGGCGAAAATTTGTTTTAAAAGTCCTCCATGTATGAAGCATCATTATTTTTAATTTTTTTCTCGAACAAAAATCTTGACTTTTTTCTATGCACATATACATATAATCCAGGTTAAAAGGGACATTGTGAAAAGCAGTTTTGTATCTGAAACTGCTACCCTGTAAAAATAAATTTTATACCGTCCGGGTGCTTACCCAATAACAGGTGTTGTCGATCACCAGGATTAGCCTTTAATTTTTCAACCAACAGGCCTAAAATGTAATGCTTTGACTTTTCCCTCACCTGAATACTCTTTAAGAGACTAGGGGTATTTCTGCGAATGTCAGCGAATTCTAGCCTTCTGCACATGTAAACTGACAACCCACTCTGTTTAAGAAAGAAATGTCTTACCCTGAAGAATGCACTTTAGGGATGGCAGGTTTCTCTGACGTAGCAGTCTTTCTAGAAGTTGGCTCTCTTTTTCTCCTCCTAAAAATGAGATGTAAGGACGGGACAAAATGCAAGGGGGGACCCTTGCATTCTGTATCGTACTTAACATGTCATGAAATGATCTCTTTTCATTTCTATATAGGAGTGTATGATCAGTCTATCCAAACTATGTAATCGCAGATCATTCCATGAGATGTTAAGGACGGGACAAAATGCAAGGGGGGACCCTTGCATTCTGTGGCGTCCTTAACATGTCATGAAATGATCTCTTTTCATTTCTATATAGGTGTGTATGATCAGTCTATCCAAACTATGTAATCGCAGATCAGTCCATGAGATGTTAAAGTGACTCGGTAACATTGTTGAAGGTTGATGAAAAAAATATATTCCTTTTACTATACTAACCCTCTGACATGCAAAAAATCCTGAACAAATTCTCAAACCACAAAGATATGTATGGTTTTCTTTGAAGGCGTCGATTTGAGGCACCCTCGAACAGTGATTAACAGTAAATTCTCCCAACCATTTTTGAATTTTCCCAACCGTTTTTCCATGAGAATAATACATAAAACAGGCTATACAAATCTGTCAACACTTAACTGTCTGGAATGGAATGCAGAGCCATTTTATTGCTTTTTGACGATTTACATTCACCTAAAATGTAATTAAATTGTCCTTGTCTTGATGCTGAACAGGCTTTGACAAGTAGCAGAATAGAAGTAGAGTAATATAGTTGGGAGAATTAACGAATTGATCAAATCAGTTTTTCCCAATTTGTACCATAAATAATGATCCGTTTTCACTCAAATTTTCAGATTATCTTTAATTGTGCATCTAGCATTGAAGTCACTACCTTAGCACCACTATCTCTCATCTGAACAATGTTACAAAGTCCCTTTAAGGACGGGACAAAATGCAAGGGGGGATCCTTGCATTCTGTGATTACATAGCTTGCAAGGGGGACCCTTGCATTCTGTGTCGTCCTTAACATGTCATGAAATGATCTCTTTTCATTTCTATATAGGAGTGTATGATCAGTTTATCCAAACTATTTAATTGCAGATCATTAATATTACTGAAATTACGCCCAAATCCTTGATTTTAGGCCATTCTGGGGTCGTTACTATGGCAACCGTTATAAATGGTAATGTAATATGCATTTCATTGCTTTCCTTTATGGTGAGGTATTCTAAACTGTACATTTTCACGCATTCAAAGTGTTTTTATCATTTTTAAATGACTTTAATTGTTTCTTTGAATAATACCGGTTTTAGTGTAGTGTTGCCATGGAAACTGCTGATTATATGACTAAGCCGTACAATCGGAAATGCTATCATAACTTTTTACACGTATATATGCATTTTAATTCGGTAAAGTTAATTTTGGACCAAAACAATATAGAACATAAGCTGTATATAAAGATTTAAAAAAACTTGGGGTGAAAAATATGAAATCTGAAAATGTTCATGTTCATGATCAGAATTTGAGGGGGAAAAGCCAATAAACTCTTCGTATAAAGTGAGTTATATATTGGTAATATTGGCAGAAATAACGCATCTGTTCGGGTAAAAGTCCAATATCGAAACACAACTTTTATAAAGTAATACTTGCCTCAAATAATAATAATAAATAATAATAATAATAATAATAGCCTAATAGTCCACTCCAAATTTTATTAAACCGAAACGGAAATTCTTTTTGCCCAATTGCGCCAGATCGACGTTGCTCTATCCCCTTATTGTTGAACGCCAAACAAGGTAGCAACAACTCCCATCTTTTAACGTCTTTTGGTATGACGCGGCCGGGATTCGAACCCACGACCTCCCGGTTGTGGGTCGGACGCTCTACTGACTGAGCCAACAAGAAAATTTCCACAAAAATGTATTACTGGATCTAGTCGCCCACTATTTGTTAGGCAATGTCACATATAATTTGTGTATTGTTCCCATTTACTGGAAGAACCCATTTCCATTTGAAATCTGAAAACGATTGCAATTTGTTCTCCATACTGTCTCGAAACGTGATATAAAATGTGGACATTAGTTTTCTATCAAATGTCTTGAAGAGTTTATCAAATATTAGTTTCTCACAAAACTTTTTTTTAATAGGGAGACAAAAGATACGTGACAGAAGCGGAAATCTAATGTTCATATTTCATTAAAATTTTCAGTCATTAAGATATCAGTATACAACATACAAACTGTGTACATATAAAATATGTTACACTCAAAGTACAAACAATATTTCGTATACAAACATCTTTATGGATATAAACTTCTTTCCTAAAAAAAAAAAAAAATCATGAATCTAGCAACTGCAACACGCTTACATTCATTTGTTTCTACAAACCTTATCTGTATTGCAACTACATAATAATGGTCCTTGTACATGTAGATGAAGTAACCTAAAACCTATTGTAGTAATTTTAAAAGAATGAAGTATGCACGCATACCTAGAAAATGCCTACGGAAATACGAAGAACCCCACGAAGAAAAATGTATCCTTTGACAAATCAGCTACAAAGAAAACGGACAATTGATTTTATGATGAAGAAACTTTTATCCCCAAAAGCATTTTTTTCATAGGGCACCTTTAACATCAGCAAAATTAATGAAAACAAAACTTCCACAGGAGACTGCTGCAATGGTGCATTTAACAAGTTTAAATTATGAATCTGTGTGCACAAGGAATTTTTAAATTATTGATTTATTTTCTAGTAAAGGGGACGTGAATGATGTGTATTTTGTCAACCACAGGCAGCCGAAATTCAGCAGAGATAGTCAGCTTGCGGCATATTTATTCACATGTTTTTTTTTTTTAGTACCGACTGCGCAAACAAAAATAAATCATAATTTCATTATAAAATCATAAACAACCGGGAAGAAATAGCTACTCAAAACGTTATTAAGAAAATTCTGCTACGTTACTTCCTAAATGAACATATTTGACAACAATTTTCTTGAGTTATATTAAATTCTTAAACCACAAAGATATTTATGGTTTTCTTTGAAGGTATCACTGTGCAACACCCTCTAACCGTGATTAATAGTAAATTCTCCCAACCATTTTGAATTTTCCCAACCATTTTCCCTTGAAACCAAGACATAACACAGGCTTAAAAAAAGCTTTCAACACTAAAATGTCTGGCATGGTTTATAGAGCCAAATCATTGCTCTGTGAAGATTTACATTCAACTAAAATGTAATTAAATTGTAATAATGTAGTTGGAAGAATAAAGAAATCGATCAGATCAGTTTTTCGCAATTTTAATCATTAATAATGGTACGTTTTCACTCAAAGTTTCAGATTATCTTTAATTGTATATCTAGCATTGAAGTTACTACCTAAGAACCATTTACTCTTATCTGAACAATGTTACCACGTCCCTTCAATACGCTACCTTTCTTATAACATTTCAAACTTGTAATAATATGTTTGTAGTACTGTTAATTTAATATTAACAATAATAATAATAATAATAATAATAATAATAATAATAATACGTTTATAGAGCGCAGAAACTATCCAACATTTAATATACATATATATTCTACTGCGCTGCAAGTGCTCCTGATATGCTTAGATTTACAGTTGATTGAAAAGATGTGCTTTCAGTTTTTATTTAAAGATATTCACAGATGGCGATTTCCTGACTTCAAATGGCAAGTTATTCCAGAGTTTGCTGTAGTTTATACTGATAGTGAGTAGTTAGTACTGTTTATCGACATATTTCATACCGTATGTAATATTAAATTCACCTTGAAATGATTATGACATTATTATTGACCTTTTACGCCATGAAAGGGTGTCTAAATAATTCTATTAAACTCAAGTCATGAAATTGAGCTAAACACTTTTGTTTATATGATTCATGGATACACCGATCAAACGAAATCCACGTTGAAGGTTGCAATACAAGAAAGATGAATTGAATAAAATAATTCAAGTAGTGACAACAACAATAATGATAATGATGGTAATAATCATGGTTATAATTATAACAGTAAACATAATAATTATAATAATAACTTGTTGAAAGACATCTCAGTAAAGTACTCTTTATGGAGGCACGTTCAATTTGTTGGTAGTACTTAGTAGGCATAAGCCTGTTGATTTTGAGGGGGCTGGGCGTACACAGTAGGGGGCTGGGTTACCATCTAAAGAAAAGATACAAGAAAAATAAACGTTAACAATCAACAAAATAATAAAACCGATCCCAAATGTAATTTATGCATTGTTACAGGGAATGTCACTCAGAGAAGTGGGGATTTCGGGTCATTCTGTCATTCAGATCAGAAGTCAATTGTGAGGGGATGACATCACAATTTCTGACCGTATTGCCAACTTGTCTCAAAGATTCAACGGTTTTCATGATTTTGGTAGATTCATAATTTTCTTATTAGTCGTCCGGTTTTTCTCAAACTTTCACTGAATTGTTTTTCTAATTCTTCTGCTTCTTTTTTATTCAAACCAAATTAATATGATGGTGGACTTTCCCTTTATTGTTATTTTGTATATTTGGTGAGGATAATTTTTAACAAGCCATTTGATATGTGCTTCAGATATCTAATTTACATATGTTGTATAAAGAGTTATATAATTTCTTATGTAAATCTTGACGTGGAAATAAAATAAAATTAGTGTGTCGTTAGCGAAGTTTAAAAAGAAAATCTTGCTCAGTTGTTGTTTAAAGTAGCCCTTTTGATGGAGGTTCACTAATGAGGTTCTTTGAATCCGACATGTTACAAATGTAAACACTTATAACCATATAATGTTTTTATATAGTGCATTTTCCATATGCATGTTCAAATGCGCTTTACAATTATGACAGAGGTGAGTAATAAGATATGTGTTGAGGGTATTGAGAGATTGCTGGTAATAGTGGTAAGTTATTCGACAGTTTGGTAGCAGAAGTTGTGAATGCTCTTTCATCCAGTGTGGATAGCATCTTGGGAGACGGGTGGTACAGCCTTAAGAGGAGAAAGAAGTAGTGGGATGGTTGCCTGATATCTACGAATTTGGATAGGTAGGTAGGAGCCGGACCATACATGAATATATATTATGTCCGGTTAATGTACCATGTTGGTGTAAACATATATACAGTAAAAAAAAAATCAATGTATATATGTACATAATTAAAAGAAAGATTTATATTGTATATATGAACATAATATATAAATCACTTGATTAAATGTAATAAATAGGACTCATAGCACTACGATGGTTGTGGATGGCTGTTTTCTGGGTTTCCTTACCAATGTAGAGGGCGGAGGGGAGGAGGCCATACCACTGCAACAATAAATAGAGCCAATGAGAGCACTGATAAAGGCCATGACACTAAGCACAGCCAACACACACACTGGAACGACGATATACTGAAAATAAAAGACGATATAATCTAATAAATTAGGCTTCCTTTCATGAGGTAATATTATAATCCATTTTCGTCATGTTATCAAATTTAATGCATAAATATTTGCGCTATACATGAACTGAACTAATATTATTATTATTAACAAATTATGTCATTTACCTGTTATGAATAATTGAATTTCGATAGTCAGAATGCAAATTGAATAATACAGTAGCCTAATTGTGCTAGGTAGGACAAACAATTCGCATTCTGACAAATAAAATCAACTATTCGTAACAGGTGAATGAAATAATTTGTAACGAGGCACTTAACAAAGGTCTGTGCATTACATTGGATTATATTACGAAAATGGCATATTGGGTAAGTTCATTGTTGCGAATTATTTCATTTACATGTTACAAGTAATTGTATTCCAGTTGCCAGAATGTAAATGTTGTGCATTTTGTGTTGTAAAGTGTAATGCAAGCCAGTATGTTTGTTTAGCAACAATTAATGTACGTAGTTTGTATTCTTGCTATTGAAAATAATGCAATAATAGCTCGGACATAAACTGAGAGCATAGTTTTGAATGCAATTTGAAAACTGTCTATAATTGAGGCTAAAAGCATTGTTTCAGGATATTCTTCGAATTAAAACAAACGATGTGTTGATTTGATTGTCAAACTAGTATGATAAATGATGGGCTATTATTTTCATTTGAATCGTTTCTAAGTGAAAAAAGAAACAGGGAATTAACTCTGACAAGCAAGTTTAGAAAGTCCCTCGTCTGCAAATGTGTTTTTATGGTGATCACTGTTATAAATTTATTTATTGGGCATATTAATATCCTTTAAGAAATATCCTTTCATGTGACTTTCCTACAATGACAGTTTTTTCACATCGGAAGAAAGTGATGGAAGGCTCAAAACATATGTGTGTGTGTGTGTGTGTGTGTGTGTGTGCGTAGAAATCAATTTTCTCTTTAAGCAGCATTTCTCTTACCAAACAAGCTTCTTGACAGTTCTCAAAAGAGCCCAATACCACAAAAAAGTAAATTAGATAGCAGTAATATCCAAGTGCTCCAAGACTACCAAATGCCGACAGGATGCAAGCAATCAAGAAAAACGCAATCTGAAATATTTACAAGAGAGAACAATTAGATAGATCAATCGATCATGCTTTATATATAAATTCCCCCCTCCATCGTTATACGTTCCCTCAAAATGTCGCACCTAACCCAGTCCATGACATATCAACCCGCCCCTGTTGACCAAGCTTATATTTACCAATGTCTATGTATGTGCGCTGTAAATTTATAGGTATTTGACATAATCAGATGATAACAAACGCTTCTTAATGATTGAAATATAAAATTGCTTGCCCCATAATGTTAAAACAATATTATGTATTCAATCACTATTGTTCATATCAGGTTTGCTGGCCAAATTCATAAGTCTTTCATTTATTACAGTAATATTCAAAGGTTAATTCAATCGAAAAAGTTTATCCATCATCTGTAAACCATTTAATTGATTTATAAAAAAGACACATAATATAATTACCATGCATGTGTATCTGCAGATTGTCCCAAGACCGAATAATGCAGTCAAAACGTACAGCTGAAAAAAGAGCAAATACATTAACTTATGTCATGGGCGTCGGAGCGTCTTTCAAAGTGTAGGTGCAACAACTAAAAAGGCACATTCTGGAACGGGTAGCACCTACAAATTGTTGTCCCAAAGCGAGATAATCTTTGTTTAGACATTGCTCTATACCCCTATATAAATTATACACATTGTAATTAAAACATTATGGGTGATGATCTTCAACATTTTCTCTTTAAATGGTCCGAGATACTGCTTCAGCACCATACTTTGCAGTTGTGTGTTATCGTCTGAAGAGTCATTTGCGAGCGAGCGAAGCGACCAAACAAAAATGTAAAGATATGTGAAGTTGATTAGATCATTTTTAAATGAGATCCTCAATCCTGATGTAATTTTAAGCACAATCTTATAATGGAAGAATAGATGAAACCTTTAATATTTTACTTAATTAGATACTATAAATGCAAATGAGTGTTGAAAACGAGCGCGAATTTGTTTTAAAAGGGGCACAGTTCATTATTATGAAACGTGGGGGATTAACTATGCCCCCTTCCTCCCCCCTCCGGCTAATGACTTTATCGTGGTGGTAGAGATATGGCTCCTGGCACTGCACAAAAAGGCTCTGATTCTTTGAACATACATAGTGTGAAAGGGAGCACTAATCAACATGGGCGTCATATTCGAAACATGGACAAGAAGAAAGCTGAACTGTGTGGACCAAACTTTTATGTCACATGGTTGCGTAGTCCCGTACACGCGTTTATGTGTACAGTGCATGCGACGTTCAGCCATATATTACTTAATATCTTATCATTTTGATGATTCGAAAACCTCTCAGCGTACTACACAATCAGCATTTTCGAATCGCTTTCGACAGGTTCATTCACAATAAAATCACATGACCAGAACTCAACTTTAGCTTTGTCTGTTGGAAATAATAGTCCGGCAGCCATCTCGATATACCTTTGTTTTTTTTTGGATTAGAGTTCCTTAGACCATCAATTTGAAAAATCCGATTGCTGACACTCTGTCAGCATTGAGCAATTTGGGATATGTGACGTCATACAAAATGGCCGCCAAAATCCCTTTTTTAACTAAAATTAATGATATTAAAAGTGTTAACAGCATTTTACTACATTAAATGGCAGTCAAATATCTTGATTTTTTTTCTAGAATCATCACTAAATAAAATTTGCGATGTTGTATGATCACAAATGATATGTAAATTTGCATAATTCTGAATGGCGCCCTCTATAGACACATTCATTTGCATTGTTCAAAATGATAGCCAAATACCAATTTCTAACATGAGATCATCATATGTCATGAGTCAGATGCACGGAATACAGTGAGTAAAAATTGTGCTGCACATTTATTTTTATTTGTGATTTAATACTCGAAAAAAACACGATTGAATTTTGTGCTCTCTGTCCCATAGATATGAGGTGGCATATGGTGATAAATGCCCGTTTTCATTGACAGTGCTAAGAAACTAGATATGTATTCTAAGGTACTAGATTCTTTTATATGAACCTAAAATATACAAACTACCAATACGTTGCAGGACTATATCCGTTTATAATTTTGCTTCAAAATCTTGAAATTTGTTTAAAAGCCCTCTAAAGTGTTGGGAACCCTAAAATATTGCATGCGGAAGAGGGTGTCATTTAACACTTAATTCTGGAAAAATATTAAAAACAAATGTGTTCGAAGTGAGGTCGTGACTGTGAGGCGTGCTTCCACACACATGTTTGCAAATGTGCTCTCTTAACACTTTCTACAAACGCTTTAGTAGTTTGAGGTAGTGAGGCAGGGTTTGGGTTATTTGTAGCTCCTAGTCTTCGGACCCTTGATAGCAACACGTTGATACGAGCCCCTGACATTGAGCTGGTTGTTGACTGTCCATAACATGAGAGTAGGTTGAGTGATGACATATGCATATTGCTCCGATTGTCTCATTTTCGCTCGCGTGAACATTGCCAGCACAAACCACTGACCTCTACCTCCTGAACGGATCATCGTACTAAAAGGCTGTATTGTCTGACCGTTCATGAATATTCATGTTTTTGCTAAACTCGGCAAAATGTTTGCTTTTACTAAATGGAAAAATTACGGTGGGGGGTTGGATGAAATGGACATAATGAAATAGGCAGAAGTGATCTATGATAATTCATGCTTTTTATGTTTCGTGTGCTCGACTTATAATCTTCAAATCGCTTGGTAATCCGAGTCCAAAGTTAGACTTGTTTCACATGTGTATTATAGGCAATGACGAGCTTGCAACCTATTTTGAAAAATTACGGTGGGTGAACTTTCAAAAGTCAATGAGACATGAGGGCTCCAATGAAAGAGCTAGTGATAACGTACGTCGGGGTGGATGTGCTTTTCGTTTAAACAAAAAATGAATTTTTAACGATTTTGTTAAAAAAACGTCCATAGGCTAACATGTTAGGCTGCTGACTCTGATCATGCTCTGACGATAGGGGGCGTTGTGAAATGAGACTAAACGGAGCCATATGACCATGCTGCATCAAGGTCGCCAACTGAGTCCTACATGTAGGGGGAGTCGAATCTTCTGCTTCATCACTTTCAGCATTGTACCCTATCCAATGCCAAAGTATGCCCCAAGAGTGTCGCATCCCGTCAACGCATGTCCTGCCAACATCGATGGAATAATATCTCCTAACTTGTCTACAGTGGCAGGAACATCAATAACAGTTAGATCTGTGATGGGCGTCTCCATGGTCATTGGCGTTTTATAAGTCCGTCATGAAGATAATAATGCAAAAGCAGTACGTAGACGTCTGTGTCATCCACTAGGACCCTGACATACCTCTTCTCATTGGCAGCAATTCGAATCGCTTGCTGTACTATGATGTTGCCTGCTTCTTCATAATTATGTTGTGGACAGACCTTTCCTTGGCATGACATCACTGCCTGGAATCACTTCAACAGGAACCTCATCTTGACGGTAATGACCAGCTTGTGCTTTTGCCTATTTCTGAACACCCAATCATCCTGCAGACTCGCGCATATATGATGTCGATCAACTGTAGTTTGTTGTCATGAAAAGATAGTGAAGTTAGCAACACTAGAGACATGTTTAAACACATTAAGTCGTCGACCAAGAAACCTTCACCCAAAGTTATATGTCTTAAAGGATGAAAATGGGAACATTTTAACAGAGGATGAAGATATAAAGGCAAGGTGGAAGAAGTAATATTGTGTAAAACCGTATACTGCAAAAGAAACTGAGGAAATTGATACTCATGAATGAGTAACTCCGAGTAAGCGTCGAGGACGAGCCCTTGCTTGAACCTGACATCTTACAAAATGGAGCGAAGGAAGCAATAAATCATCTGAGACCTGGGAAAGCACCTGGTATTGAAAATTCCCTGCAAAGCTTTTCAAAGAGAGTGGAGAGGAGGGCGTAAATGTCTTGCATAAACTGTGTAACAAAATATGGAAACAGAGAATATGGCCACAAGACTGGAATAGTGCTGTTTTTCTCCCACTCCCAAAGAAAGGTGTTACAAAATGAATGTGCCAACACCCGCACTATTTCTATTACTCTGCATGCCAGTAAGATTCTTCTTCACTTAATTGCTGAAAGAATTAGAAACAAACAGGGTTCAGAAAAGAAAGAGGGACAAGAAACCAAATTGGCAATTTCAAAAATTTAATGGAGAAAAGCAGAGAATTTCAAAAACTTCTCTCCCTAGCTTTATTGATTTTTCCAAAGCCTTTGACTGCGTACAACATAAACGCCTATGGAAGATTATGAGCTAGATGGGCTTTCCAGCACATATTATTCAACTCATCCAGTCGCTTTACCAAGACCAACTTAAGCAACAGTAAGGAAAGAGAATGGCTACACCGAAAGGTTCACTATTGGTCAAGTTGTCCGTCAAGGCTGCATCCTATCACCATAACCTTTCAACATCTATGCTGTATTCATCATGAGAGGCTTTTTATTGTCAAGTTTCTGTTGGTGGACGAATGATCACCAACCTAAGATACGCCGACAATACAACACTCCCGGACGTACTGATTGGGGGGGGGGGGGGGGGGGGGGGGGGGGCTTAGGGACAGTTGACCCCCCAAATAAAATTCAAACTGTTTTTTTTCTTCATATTCGATTCCAGTGATTTACAAATGTTGCTGAAAAGACATGATTTTCCTGGGTTTTTTTCTCACTTTTTAGTAAATTACAATTTGTTAAGCGTATGTTGGAAAATTACAAATCTCTAAATTCAGTCAAGCAAAAAATATGTTTATTTAAAAGCCTACATGTCAGGGTCCGTGGAATGTATAAAGTATGTTAAAGAGAACTAGAAAGAAAGTGACCCGAGGTGAAATGAGGTATCAAAATATGCTCATCTGACAGTTATTAAATGCCTAAAACCCACTGAGCTTCCGGGGGCTGTGCCCCTCGAACCCCACCTAGGGCCCTAAGGAGGGCCCCTGCATGGATGCTCATCTGACAGTTATTAGCTGCCTACAACCTCCGAGCTTCCGGGAGCCCTGCCCCCTGGACCCCACGCCAATTTGCGCTCCTCTCTTCCTGATCGTACATACTTTACCCCCCCCCCCCACCCCCGCTTTAAAAAACGTTCCGCGGGGCCTGCATATAACATGTATGAGTGGTGGTGATGCAGATTGTTTTTCTGCCCCTCTAAATGTTTTTGCTCATTATTCCACTGACAACACTTATAACAAGAACATCAGAAGAACTGCTAGAACTCCTTAAAAAAACAGTGAAGGATGCAAGTGAATATTTTGGACCCTACCTCAATGTGAAAAAGACCAAGATCATGATTGGTGGAAATTAACTACATGCAACAGAGCATGGTGGTTGATGGAAAAGAAGTTGATCAAGTGGACAAGTTTATATAATTTTCTTGGGTCAATGATTGTGAAGAAGGGTGGAAGCTCGGTAGATATCAAGAGACAACTGGCCATGGCTAAACATCGGCCTCAACACTGTCAAATATCTGGAAGGACAGGAACCTCACCTTGGCCACAAAGATCCAAGTAATGAAGGCATTGTTTTTCCAAGTAGGAACTCTATGGCAGCGAGACATATCAGGAAAGGCAGACAGCTAGGGGAGCAATATCTACCTTTGAAATGAGGTGTTGGAGGAAGCTACTTGGGAAATCATGAAGAGATTACATCACCAATGGACACAATTAATGTCCATCATCGGAGACCAACCGCCACTTGCTACCAGGATTGACAAGTACAAGCTACAATAGTTTCGTTACGTTAGCAGAAAGACCAGGAGACAACCTTGCCAAATGATCATTTAAGGTACCTTTGAAGGAACACATAACAAAGGAAGATTCACGCTCAGATGGAGTGACGACCTTAGGGAAATCACTAGCCACCCTCTAAATACTAAATACACTCTACCGGATTGCAGGAGACGGATGCCGATCGAAAGGTCTCATCAAACGGGTCACAAGGGTGAGCCATGATCTATATGACAACGACGACGACGATGCTCAGTGAGAGATAGTTTCTTGGAGGGCAGCAGTGACGCGGGATTCAGTTGGAAGACTCTCGACCCGGTATGACCTCTAGATACTCTTGGATCTGTCAAACACCAAGCAAACATCATCAGATTTTCATCCACAGTAGAGCACAACCATCAATGACTGTACAAGGTTGTTTTAGTGTCTCATGCCTGACTGACATCTCAACTTTTGTCGAATTCTATAAGTCCGCCTTGGACATAGGAGTGCTCGTTTCCAGAGTCATCAAAGAGTGCTGTTGGGACTGGTGAAAGCTCTTATGGCAAAATGTCCTTGACATTGACCTCTCTTCAATTTTTCATAGACTTTCGTACCCCAACATTCATTGACTTCTTTATGGCTGCCATGGTTTGAACTTTCTTGGAAATTGTGTCATAGAATCCACCAGGTAATTTCTTTTGAAACTCATGCATCTGTCTAGTACAGATGTCAACTGCTTTATCCACATTCACTGACATTGGAGCAATGCTGGTCTAAATAAAACCTATCAATGGAATAATAATGTGTGCCGTAAAACCACTTCTCACCTATTTGATGAAAAATGAATTCTTTCATAGCTATTTTTGTTCCTTGACATATGTAGGGTAGGTGTAGGGAATTGGAGACCGCCAAGCTTGAACCATCACTGTCTGTCCGTGTTGGCTCCAATATTACCATAGCGCCATATTATGTGACCTTTAACAACACTACTGCATACATCCAATTCATTTCGAAGACTACAATACATCGTAAAATTTAGCTCTGATATAAAAACACAATTTTCACTGAATGTTGTGGTGTATGCAGATATTTAGGGGTGGCTCTTAAAAAAAACAACGATCACAGAAAAATTATGGCCATTGTGTGTTGTGAATGGGTGTTGCAATGCACATTATGAATGGTGTCTGAATGCATTTCATTTAAGAAGTTGAAGGTAATGAAAGACCTGGTGATGACGTCATTAATCATTGTTATCTTATTAATTAGTTACATCATGACCACAATTTTGTTACCAAATAAAGAGAAAAAATTACTGAAGAGAATACAAAAATTTCTGTATGTGTAACATTGTTCATGTTTATGTTAATTATGCAAATGTGCTTAAGGGTCTCCAATTCCCCACACCTACCCTATCTAAATTGGGCCAAACAAGATGAAAGATGAATGCAGCACAATTGCAATTGTTGCCCCAAAAAAGCATTTAATATGATTTCAAGTTGACATAGATTTAAAAAATTGCCATTTGGCTGGCACACATATTTTATTCAAATTAATATATTTATAGAGGGCGCTATTTCAAAATATGCAAATAAACTGGTCATCTATAGCGATGCAACATCACAAACGTTTTTTAAGTGATGGTCCTAAAGAGATACAGACATTTGGCTGCCCAAAATTGTAGAGAAAATCCTTATTATATATTTATTATTCATTTTTAAAGTAAATCATGTACTTTGGCGGCCATTTTGTATGACGTCATATATCTTAAATTGCTCAAAGCGAACAAACTGTCAGCAATTAGATTCTTGAAATAGAAGCCTTAGGAAATCAAAATCCATTGAAAAAAACTATAGACCCAAAAACAAGGTTAGGCCAATAATTTCGGTTTTGCTGCCGGACTATAACATGTTAGCTGGTATTATCTCAAACTTACACCACCTTGAGCGAAAGCGATACGCTGGTAGATCATAGATACTACAATTTGGACGGAGAGAATGGCTCCACACACTGCCGAACCGATGGCGGATACAATTATAAACACCGCTGTACAGGTGGCGGCACCTGCACTGTAGTTTTCAGAATAGCCAGCCCGCTAATAAAATGATTACAAAGAAACAAGTGGAGAGAAAACAAATATCGTGTGGTTAGCCAAGTATTACTTTATACCCCTTTTTATTATTGTATGCATTTGAAAAAAATTGGACTTCCTTGTGTTGTAAATGCAGCGAATGCGACAGTTTTATAATCTCACCCCTCTCTCTCTCCATCTTTCTCTCTCTCTCTCTCTCTCTCTCTCTCCCTCTGGCTCTCTGTCTCTCTGTATCTATATATGTGTGTGCCTCTCTCTCTCTCTCTCTCTCTGTTTCTCTCTCTGTCTGTCTGTCTCTTTCTCTCACTCTTTTTCTCTCTATCTCACTCGTCCCCTTTCTCTTCTACGACGTTTATTTTGCAATGAGATGGTTTTCATGAAAATTATCATAATGCATTCATTTCGATTGGGCCCCATTAACCCACTGAGTAGTCAATTCTTTCATTGTCATAGGCTTAATACAAGAACCACCTGGTTCCAGTAGGCAATGAAATAAAAAAAGAAGTATGAAGTACACCAGCATATTTTCTGATAATTAATGAGAGGTTCCCGAGATATTATAGGCATTTACTGATCAGGATTTGGGCCTATTTACCCACAGTACATAGCATCAGTATTTGCTGCTCATCCCGCATCCGGGTCCTATAATTATTATAACCCCAGCATTGCTAGGTTTAATTACATACACCTGCGTCGAGAGAGACACATATTCAAGGCAACACACATTGTTCAAGGATGTAAGCAGCACGCACGGTTCGAACCCGGGACCTACCGTACGAGAGGGCCTTTTCTTACTTCATTACAATGTTTCGGATGTATCATTATCATTAATCAATCATTATTTCCCAAGTTGTAAAAGAAATGGGAACTTTTACTATAGATTTAGGGTGGAATTCAAATTTCTCCTTGCGTATGTCTATATTTCTTTCTTTCTTCATGCATGTTCATAATTTCACAATTCATTTGAATTGACTTCAAGTGAAAAAGAATATAACAATGTTTTATCAAAGACAAGTTTTTATATATAATACAGTTTAAAGAATGAACACACAAAGATAAAGAAACGTATGCATAGAGCTTGAATCGGTACAAACCTTTCAAATATATAATATATATCAAATAAAACTCTTAAAGGGTTGTGAACTATTCACACTATTTATAAAGAACAAGAATTTAAAAAAATAAAAAGAGAAATATTGTTAAGTCTAGTAAAATTGTCCTATAGATAATTAGAGAATTAAATTTATGTTCGTTATAATAAGAAATGATATGTAGATTTATAAATACGTAAGTATTATATTACAACTACAACTATTACAACTAATAAAACAACAGAGTGCTCTTTTAAAGGAGTTTGGTGATTTTATATTTTGAATATTGTTAGGTAAAGAATTCCATACATCTGGACCCCAATGTCTGATTAATTTATCGGCTAATATTAATGTATGAAAAACAAGAAAATTATTTTTTGTTCAATTCGTAGCTCCGCCACTAAGTTTATTTGATTTCTAAAAGTCCATAATATATTTGGAATACCGCAATACATGATTAATAAAGTTGCTTATTTCAGAAGAAATTCCGTATGGTTTTGTTCAAACTTACCGAGGGTCTATTCTCCATTATAGTAACAGGCTGCATGTTCAGAAACCTGTGTATACCTTTAAAGTAGAAAGAAAGTGTGAAAAGCGAAATTAATAATTTTACAATATCGACTTATGGTAAAGGATGATATTGTCTTCTTCTCTTACCGCAGGAAAATTCGAATTGGAATAGTCTTTAATGAAAGTATTATTCAATTTATTCATATTCGAAATATAACAATATATAACTGAGGAGCTAAGAGCATAATATTCTTTGCACAGTGAAGGCTGGTGAGTTTCTGCAAGATTAGGTCAATATCCAACCAGTTACCTGATACCAAAACCTCACAGAATAGTGAGAATATACCAACCAATATGTCATGTAGGCCTATGTGCTGAATACTTAACATTGTCCAAACGCTTTTTTACTTGAATAGTGCAATTGCATAAACAGATGGCTACGTTATCTTTTAACACATTTTTATACAGTCTTTCTTTTTCCATCACCAGTAAATGTGAAGGAGTTCAAGAATCAAGGTTAATTGTCCATATGTAATGATACATTGATTTGTTTCCCATTAGTGTAAAAATACATCATAGTCATGAACATGATATTATATGCTGAGAGCCAGAATGGTGCTTAAGGGCAAACCGAAACCTTGTGATAAGTTCATTTGAATGAAAACAGACAATCAGAGGCAAACGTTTGAAGAAAGAGACAATTATAGATGTATACAAATATGTGATCAATTGATCGACTTGCGTGTTGCCTGGTGAAGCGTGCTAGTATGGCAATGACGTAGTATGTAACATATACGAACAGAAATTCTATAGGAAATGCAATAGGGTATTGAAATCAGTCTTAAGTTGATTTTGGGGGAAATATGTGTGATCGTGTAAAACTGATATAAATAACAATACCGTAACTTCCTCCCGTCAACAAGAAGCGAGAGAGAGAGAGAGAGAGAGATTGACAGCTAGAGCGAGTGAGAGAAAGAAGAAAAAAAGGACAAAAAAGAGGAACAAAAATCAGGAAAAAGAGAGAAAGAGAGGGTAGTAAGGAATCAGGAGCTGCAAAGGCGTGTTCTAATGTTTTTGAGCAAGAGAGTTGAAGATAAAGTTAGAGACAAGAAGAATACAAAGTAGAATGTGAGCCTTTGACAGAGAAAATAAAATAAGAAAAGAAATCAAAAAGAGAGAGAGAGAGAGAGAGAGAATGCTAGACGGAGAGAGAAACGGGAAGAATGAATTTGAATAGAACTACGTCACAAGTAGAAGTCTGAAAGGCAAACACGCAAACCGCACAATAGTTGCCAGGCGTCCCCATCGAATTTTTTACTTTCTCATAAATATCACAAATTCTCGATTGTGTTGGCTTGTTATTTTTGTCTATGCAACCATGACAAACATGTAGCTGCGCACTTGGCATTGAGGAATCAATCTATGCTTACACAAAAAGTTGTTCTTTGCATTAGATAAACAATATTTGATAACGTTAGCCTCCCCATTTCTCATAGACGCATCAAGGCTTGTTTAACTTGGTAAATTGCCGTCTGCCCGTCTACCATCCATGTTGTCTATTAATCATTTCGCCTACTTTTCTATTCAATTTTTTAATTTATTTTGCCAAGTAATAAAAAACATACAGGGTAAAACAAAAGCAGTATACAAAGTTTCACACAATCACAATTACTAACATAGATAAACACAGAAATACACAGAATCAATTTACAAACATGAATAATACAAAGGAAATTGCTAATGCTGGTAGCAGCCAGAAAAGAGGTGGTCCTTGTATGCGGCTGACCAATTAATCAAATATAAAAAGTTAAGCTGTAATAAAAAGTGAAACAAACAACAATTACATGTAAAATATAATGAATTTAACAACCGTTAAAAAATCTGTAGCTAATATCAATATACGTCCATCAAGTATTTTTTGTATTTACGTTTGAAAGTGTTAACAAATTTCAATTCACGTATTTTACGAGGTATAGTACTCCATAAGCAAGGTCCATTGAATATTACTGTACGTTTATATGAAGTTTTATGTACAAGTGGCAAGTGAAAATTCTCAGCATTTCTAGAACTATAGTGGTGTATATTACAATTTAGTATAAAAAGTTTTAAAAGTGATTTGGGAAGGATTTGTAAATAGCACTGGAACATGAATATTGCACATTGATAATTATACATATCAGTAAAATTCAATATTTTCATTTCTTTAAAAAGTGGATGTGAATGGGCAAGATAAGAAGTATGACAAATAGTACGAATTGCACGTTTTTGCAATAAAATCACTTTCTTAATATGGGTTTCATGTACATTCCCCCATGCAAGTATTCCATAATACAAAAATGGTAATATCAAACTGTTATATATCATCTTCAATATACATTTAGGAAATGATTTTAATTTATACATAACACCAATATTTTTCGATAATACATTACAAACAGCATTTATATGATCAGTCCATTTCAACTTATTATCAATGGTTATGCCAAGAAATTTAAGTGAAGAGACCTGTTTAATTTCTGTATTACACAAACGAATAATAATAGAATCAGTGTCACATTTTTTAATAGTAAAAATCATATAATGTGTCTTACTTATATTAATTGACAATTTATTTACAGAAAGCCATGTGTTTATTAACTTAATTTCTCGATTAAATATATCTTTAATAAAAATAATAAATAATATCTTTATATTTTGATGGGATAAAAAAATGCTTGTATCGTCGGCAAATAAAATTGATTTTAAAATTCTAGGAAGATCATTGATATATAAATTGAACAATAATGGGCCTAATATAGATCCTTGAGGTACTCCACAATTGATTTCTTGGTAATTTGATTTTACATTTCTACTGCCCATTTTAAATTATTGTTCATTTAGTCTAATAACCAATTAGTCTAATGGCCAATTCTACTAACGCTCATTGCGTCTCACCTCCGTAAGGTCTATTATTCATTTCATGATTATATTTATTATTCATGATTATTTTACCCTCGGGTAGGACGTTAATATTGACGCCCCGTGTAAAAACGGTCACCACCTTTAATTGCCTGGTAAGAACATGGATATACTAAGACCCACTGCACTATCCTTTATAAGGGGAACCCGGGCGTGTTTTTTTAAAAGACTTTCATCTGTTTTAATGATACATATGACGCATCCAACAAATATGAGGATTCCTAATCAATAGTACGAATTTCTATGTAAAGGTGATGAATAATGAATCCGAGTGTGCATTTTACCGATATACTCACTTGTCTAAATTGCTCAATAAACCTTGACTTTCAAAGGTTATTACAACACACGAAATGGAATAAATTACGCCTAGTAAATACGCCATATTTACGGTTCAGCCAAATCAAATAATTATATTCAAACCTGTATATTAAGTCCACTCAATGTCAATGAAAACGGAAAAAGTGTTCATTGTAGACAGGTGACATTTACAGAGAGGTGGCCACAAAATACAGGTTGCCTGTGTATATAAAGTAACTTTTTCATGATTGTGTTCACTACAAGAAAATAATGTAAGTGAAGTAATTTTGATATCCCATTCTTTAAATAAATCCTATATATTGCACACATTATTTGGCTTATATACAGTTCTAGACATTGGCTAGTCTGCAGTCACGTTCAGATTGTAAATTAACACCATACCACAATTCTTATAGCCTTAAAGATACTGTGTCCCTTTTGCAACCAACCTCAAATTCTGTAGAACTTTGCAGGAATTATGAATATGTCATGTATGTCCTATCTGTGAGATTTAAACGTTAGCAATGTCCTCATATTCAAATTATAAAAGGAAACCCGTTTTCTTGCTAGACTTCACTGTAAGACACTATTGAGTGACTGGTTGGCTTTTTTCTTAATAACATACATGAAAAGAGTTGTAAAGGGTACATGAGCATTTGTCTACATCAATAACCCACTTCTTGTGATGGCCAAAATTAAACTGATTAAATCTTTGCGCAGCATAAAACGTATGACCATTCGGTACAATTGACTGAAAATCAAGACTATTACTTATTGGCTCTATAGCCCCTAAGTCGATTTTACAACTAATAGTCGTTATTTTCCCACTTGAAGACATTTTCAAGCCCCACCTTTTTTAGGGAAGTTCTAAATTAGTATTATCTTTCAAATGCAGTTGGAATTTAACTTTTTCATTTTTTTTGGCCAGCAAATGGGACATAGTACCTTTAAGCAGAGCCTCGCTCCGTAATTCTCTGCCGGCTGTAAGTGTCCGGAGAAGCTAAAGTGCAGGGCCTATGCAGTATGCCATAAACATAGTACATAGTACATGTACAGACACTTGCACGCAGTGACTGACAAAGGTTTGTGGCCGCAAAATGCACCGTGCCCATGAAGTTGGAATAAATTATTGTGCACATGTACCTCTTTTCGTGACAGAATTATGAGAATATGATTTATTATTTATTGATAAAGTTTATATCTTCTCAGAGCTCCATTAAACAATATTGATCGCTCTTTAGATTGAGCAATAAATTAAGCAGTGAGGAGATACAAACTTTATATATTATAATAAATCACGTTGTCACAACCATGCATTTCATCAAAAGAGTTTTTCAAAACTTAGTATTACACCAATAAGTCATTGTTTGATGGATTTGTCATAGTTTTTGTGTTTGGTAAATACAGTTAAATAAACACATATCAAAAGTCGCTGTTGAAGGATTTGCCACAGTTTTCCTGGTTACCTCCCACTAATTTCTACCAAGTTCACTGAAGTACGAGAATGCTCTAAGTACTTATATATCCAGACATTTCATATAAAACAAAAATTACAGAGTAATGATATGAATTATTATTACCTATTATTAAGTACTTTCACAAGATGTGGGTACCTGGCAGGAATTAATTCCTTGAAATGCTGGATAAACGGCAGCTAGGCTAAAGCGGGGGTAATGTTAATGCGCCTCGGAATAGAATTATCTAGATAGACGGCGCTATAGAAATGCCTATTACTATTATTATTATCATTATCATTCATCAAATTAATGACATATACACATTTGGTATAGGCTCGTGAGGACATCCTTTTCAAATCTTTCCGCCGAAAACTATCAAAAATTGAATTAACAGTATGAAATTGTCACGTTTAAATTATTATCGATAGGAAATTCGACTGCTGTGCATAATATCGAGAGAGTAAATCCATCACCTTGTATGCACATAGTAAATATATTGAGGAGTATGCAGAGAGTAAATCTATTGAGTAGTATGTAGAAAGTAAAACTATCAATTAGTATTTAGAGATCGGTATGTCCATTGAATGGTATACATACAGTGAATCTGTCGAATAGTACGAAGAGAGTATTTCCATCACATTGTATGCACATAGTACATATATTCAAATGGTATGTAGAGAGCAAATCCATTGAGTAGTATATACAAAGTAAATATATTGAATACTAGAGGATAAATTTACTACAAAGTCTGAAAGAGTAAACCTATCAAATATAGGAGTGTAATTTTACCACGAAGTATATACACAGTGAATATATGGAATAGTATGTAAAAATTAAATCCATCGAATATTAGAGCGCAAATTCATCACAAAGTATAAACAGCGTTATTATATCAAATTTGTGAGCGTAAATTTACCACAAAGCATAAAGAGCGCTTATATATTGCTTAGGAAGTAAAGAGTAAATATATCGAATAGTATATGGTACATAATTACTGTATATGACGGTACTTACGAGTATATAAGCGGAGTATTTATGAGGCTGAAGTTCCAGTTCCGATGATTAGCTAGCAGCTACTTCTCGCTATGATTGCCGATAATGAAAGAGAATTGATACCAACGGAGTGATTAGTGTAGCATGCGATGGAACGAATGACGCATTATACGTGTAGTTTACTTTTCAATTATTGAGTCACTGCCAGAATTAATTGAACCTCTCTCTATTCTCTTCCCAGGTCTGAATTCCAGTTGAAACCAGTAGGCAACTGGTACCAGTTAAAACCAGTAAGTCAACTGGTACCAGTTGAAACCAGTAGATTCAACTGGTTTTTAATATGGAAATTGAAATAACGCTAACTGAGACCAGTTGATTTACCAGTTGAATTACAAGTTGATTTACCAGTTCAATTACCAGTTGATTTACCAGTTGATTTACCAGTTGAATATCAAGTTGAATTACCAGTTGATTTTTCAGATGATTATCCAGTAATCAATCAACTGATAATCAATGATCATTATTAGCATCTGGCCACCAACTTGACCACATATACTAACTCTTGCAATTACCCCATCACAATGATCATTTGAAGTAGATTACAGATGTGTATTGTGTGATTTGACATATATTGTTCGTGCATACATATATACAAATTTATACACTTTATTTCTGGTTAGTAATTACATATATATCAATATATCTCATTTTACGTCTTAAATCAGATGAAAAACATGATCAGACATGTGTAATATATTTGTCAATAATTAACTAAGGAAATGTAAATCACAAAATGTATGTGCATTGCTTGAAAGATCTGTGAAAACATGCAAATCATGAATATTCATAAGATACATTGAACTGGTTTTTTAACTGGTAAATCAACTGGTATTCGTACTGGTTTTCAACTGGTAAATCAACTGGTAATTATCTACTGGTTTTCAACTGGTAAATCAACTGGTAATCTTACTGGTTTTCAACTGGTAAATCAACTGGTAATCTTACTGGTTTTCAACTGGTAAATCAACTGGTAATCATCTAGTACTGGTTTTCAACTGGTACTAATCTACTGGTTTTCAACTGGTAATCATCTACTGGTTTTCAACTGGAATCAACTGGTAATCATCTACTGGTTTTCAACTGGTAAATCAACTGGTGATCATCTACTGGTTTTCAACTGGTAAATCAACTGGTAATCATACTGGTTTTCAAATGGTATATCAACTGGTAATCATCTACTGGTTTCAACTGGTAAATCAACTGGTAATATCAACTGGTCTCAGATGTCAACTGGTATTTCTACTGGTTTCAAAATTGTATCAACTGGTATCAATTGGTACCAGTTAAGACCAGTTGAGACCAGTTCAAACCAGTTCAAACCAGTAGATAAGAGTTGGAAATCCTTACTGGTTTCAACTGGTATCAACTGGAATTTCGACCTGGGTTCCTCCATCCATACTCATACACCATCTCTCTTTCTCTGTCATACGCTTTATAATAAACTCCCATTTCCACTTGCAATTTATTTCCTTTCAATTTTGTATAGAAAATATTATCTTATTATCCACTTCATTTCCTTCTCTCATAATATGCCCCTCTCTCACTTTTGTTCCACCCTCTCTCTCTCTCTCTCTCTCTCCCTCGATCTCTCCCTCTCTCTCTCTCTTCACGAAATATTGGCGTTCGAAACATTTTTTTCGTCGCGTTTTGCACAAAGTGGGACGTCTCCATATAATTTATGGATATTTTGGGGGTAATTTGTACACGTGCTCTCTCCAAAATGGCTTAATCCTCTAGATCAAATGGAATGTGTGTATCTTGCTTACATAAAATAATGGCCTATGGGGATACAGCTCAATTGACCGATGCTTGTGACACCGAAAATCATATGTGTGCAGACAAGGGCGTCGCTAGACATTTTTCAGTGGGATGTAGAGGCCAACGATTACCGACAAAACTAGCCACCGATTACCGACAAATGTCCCAATATCTATGGGTGGTATTCCGGTAGCGCGTACTAAGTTAGCGCGTGCTTAGTTAGTTCACACTTTTAGGGAGTGCCTGTTGTGAAAAAGCGTCCAAAAAATTAATTTTGCAATGAAATGGGAAGAAAAAGATAATATGAGTATGAACTGAATTTCAACAAAGTCTTTGGAAGATAATAATAGCCTAATAGTCCACTCCAAATTTTATTAAACCGAAATGGAAATTCTTTTTGCCCAATTGATCGTGAGCCCGGCAGCCACTGAGCAGCGCCCGATCGACGTTGCTCTATCCCTTATTGTTGAACGCCAAACAAGGTAGCAACAACTCCCATCTTTTAACGTCTTTTAACGTATTTTGGTATGACGCGGCCGGGGTTCGAACCCACGATCTCCCGGTTGTGAGGCGGACGCTCTACTGACTGAGCCAACACTCCGGTTAGATTATCCTTGTCATGAATATTGAAGGAGGAAGATGAAACCTAGCATTCCATAGAAGTGTGAACTAAAATTTTTGTTTAGTCTGGACTTAGTCCCGGCTTAACTTATTAGAATACCACCCTATGAATTTAACCCTATAAACCCGGGGCCGAAGGCTAAGTTATTTTCTCCCATGAACTATCTATAGTACTTGCGTATGTGCACAAGGTCATTTTCCTCGACGACATAAAGATACGATGATTTATTCTCGTCTTTTAATCCTTATCTGAATTCAGTTTCCCCCGCCCCCCCCCTCTTCCCGCGCAAAGCGCGGAAGCTTTGACGTTTCCTTAAATTATTAGAAAAAGAAGACGATTCGTTGTACTGTTCTCGACTTTTAATCCTTGTCTGTATTCAGTCTCCCCCCCCCCCCCCTTGACGGGTTTGATGTTCCATTAAATTATTATAGAAAGAAGACGATTCACTGTACCGTTCAGTTTCGACTAGGCGTTGTGGCGTGTGCCTGTAATCCAGCTAACAGTGGAAGTTACAAACTGATTCAGGTGAGGACGCAGGTTCGAAACTGAGTCACGTCTTTCGGATGGTGACGTTTAAAGGTCGGTCCCCAGACGTAAATAATCATATCTGATTGAAACACGTCTGTAAAAACCAATTACACACACACACACACCTCCCGTTGAAGCTTTGACGTTTCATTAAAGTATTAGAGAAAGAAGACGTTCGGTGAAGCGTTCTCGTCTCTTAATCCTTATCTGAATTAAGTCCCCCCCCCCCCCCCTCTTGCGCGAAGCGCTGAAGCTTTGATGTTTCCTTACATTTTCAGAGAGAGGGTGCCGTTAACTTGTAAGAGCTACCGGTGCTTACCTATACCTTTGCATGATGGCAGTTACACACCGGCGAGGACAAGCCAGGACGGGTGTGAACCACTAAACCCTGCAGTGACTGGTCGAAGAATGTCGGGAGTCCCATATCGTCAATCGACCTCAATGCTGTCACGGTGGCACGGTTTTCTTTTCTTTTTTCTGTTTTGTTTTGGTTGTGCTCAATTAGTAACTTAACACAACATAAGAGTAATTGTAATCACCTCATTCTTTTGATAAATGTTAATTTTTATTGCCAGTTGTAACCACTGCCTTGTGGTCAGGGGTGACGATCCAGACTACAGACTACAACACACATTTAGGCTCTGGAGGGCCTAAGAGTGCAGCGTTAAGACAAATAAAAATGCAAAAATCTTCACAACACTCGGTAGCTACGCTCCCTCTTATAATATCCTTCAAAATGTACAAGTAAATACCGAGAAAAGTGAAGTGTGAAAAAAGTTTCGCTAAGGACTGTAATTTTTTAATAAAAAACTTCAAAAACCTGTGAGGGGGTAGTCAATTCCGTCACATTTATCCCTCTCATTCACTATTGCTCCCTCGATCGCACCTGCGTACTTTCTCTCCTCTCTTTCATTCCCGTTTCTCTTGTTTCCTGTTTCTTTTTTTCGTTCTTTTTTTCCTTTTCTCCTTTTTTTTTTCTTCTTTTCTTTCTTTTTCTTTCTATCCTCTCCTTCCTCTTTTTCTCCTCTTTTATTTCCTTTCTTATTTTCTCTCCCTTTTTCTCTCATTTTTTCCCTCCCCCTTTTCTCATTTTTCCCGACGGCAGCGCAATTTTACCGACAATATCCTGACAGGTAGGGGGTGTCGCACCCCTCACACCCCCCCCCCCCCTCCCCCTTAGCGACCTCCCTGTACAGTGCAGTTATACGACATACAATACATACGTTTTATTATGCTTGCGCACACACATTTTATGGATTTGGGTGTCATTGTTTGTGAGCGTATATATAGCTTGGTATTAATATGATCCCTTCACCTAATAATAATACATATTAGGCATATCAAGTTTTATAGAGTATTTTAGGAATAATTCGGTCCAATAAATTTGGAGCAAATCAGGCTACTATAGAAGATAAATTGATTATATAAAAAGGAAAACTTGGGATGAAAAATATGAAATCTGAAAATGAACAGCTCACTTTCCATTTATGATAAAAATCACACTATCTTGAATTATTTCATTGCGATAACGGATTAAAGAATTTGAGGGAAAATGTCATTAAACCTTTTCGTATATAGTGATAAATACTTTATCTGGTGTTATTGGCAGAAATAACGCATGTACATGTGCTTAGTTAAAAGTCCGATATTGAATTACAACTTTTTATCACGGTTACATTTACTTGCCTCAAATATGACGCTGATTGCAGAAAAGTGTATTAATGAATAATGAATCTAGTCACCCACCATTTGTTACGCAATATCACGTATCATTTTGTATGCAGCCCGTAAAATATTGTAGGGGCCGATTATTAATAGGGAGACGAGATACGTGACAGAAGCGGAAATCTAATTTTCATATTTCATTAAAATGGTTATAGAACAATTAACCCTTTGGCAATCACCCCCGGGAAATTACCCCCCCCCCCCCCGGAAAACTCCCCAAAGACAATTTCACCCCAAAATACCCCCCCCCCAGGACAACTACCCCCGGAAAATTACCCCTAGGAAACTTACCTCCCCCCCAAAAAAAAAAAATAAAAAAAAAAAAATAAATAAATAAATAAATTAAATAAATAAAATAAAAAATAAATAAATAAATAAATAAAAAAAAAATAAAAAAAATGAAAACCAACTTATTATCAGGCTTGACTACGGTCCCATTCGTAGCTAGTACCTTTAACGAACAGGGGGGGCGGTTGTCCCCGGGGAAGGTTGTCCTTGGTTTTCCTCCGGGCGGGGGGGGGGGAGGGGGGTAATCGTCCTTATATGCATTAAAATGTACATCCATAAAGATATAATTATACAACAAACCACAAACCGTGCAATATTTTGTATAAAAAACTCTTTATTGATATAAACTTCTTTTAAATTTAAAAAATGTTTGACATATCAGCTACAAAGAAAACGGACTGCAATTGATTGTAAGATGAAGAAACTTTTATCTCCAAAAGCATTATTTTATGGGCCACCTTTATCAACATCATCACATTGAATGACACACTTCCACAGCTGCAAAGGTGCATACAAAAAAGTGTCATGATGAATCTGTGTGCACAAGGGTCTTTATACTTATTCATATATTTTCTAGTAAAGGGGACATGAATGATGAGTATTTCGTCAACCACACGTAGCCGAAATTTAGCTTGTGATATATTGCTATTTACACGATTTTTAAAATACTCTTTTGAGCACCGACTGCATGCAAAAAAATATAATTTTATAATGAAATCATTATCAATCGAGTAGAAATAGTTACTCAAAACCTTAGAAGGAAAATCCTGCTTACATTACTTCCTAAATGATCAAACCAACTTTTTTGATGAGTGTTTACTATTACATGTAGTTTCTTTACAAAGTGCTTTACCATTAATTTACCAAAGTGCTTGGAGTATTTTTCTTACTTTGTCACTGAGATCATTACTATTCTGTACATTACAGTACACATTCTCCACTCCCTGGGAAGCATTACAGCTAGTTGCATTTTTACATGAGTACACATGCTAATCCAACTACAATGACATTTGCATCGTACCCATTTAACACCTAAGAAGAGAGTAGCAATGCAGGTACAATAAGAATACATGGCTCAAGGACATTTCCTCGCTAATACATGTATTACTCACTCGACAGACTATGACATCCCTTCCACTACTACATGTATTATAACGAACACTGCTATACAAAACTCTCATTAAAACACAGTCATTTTGCTGGTCCCACTCTATTTGATAAAATCTTTACGACAACAAATATAGAGGACATGGAAATTACTTAAGGGAAAATATAATTATTTGTTCAAGGGTTCTGATAACAAAACTTTTTTGATTAATTAAACAAAAAACATGTTTTGTACATATTTTACTGTTCAAAACATGCTTTTACTGCTTTAATTTTCCCAAAGTGAGTAACAGTAATACCAGAAATGACTGTGGCGTATCTAGGTAAAGGGCAAAACTATTATATATATATATGATTCTATGACAACAAATATACATGGAATACATGGAATTTACAGAAACTAGATCGTTCCTTATTAATAGTTAAAGACCACTTTGGATTAAGTGAAATGGTTACAAACAAGACGAAACAAGACTAGCAGGATAATTGCAATATCACTTTTCAAGGTTCCCTGCTACAATCTTTCCTTAAAAGATAAATCTGAGTACTGGTCTTGTGTTTACATTACAAAAGGACCTGCCAACAACTAGGATGGCCATTTTCGTACTGTAATCAAATTAATGCATTCATTCACCTGTTACAAACAAATTGCATATATTACTTTGTGTAAGGTAAGGACCAGCCACAATGTTTGTCCTACATAGCATCAATTGAAATACAATTATTCATAACAGGTGAAATAAATCATTTCAAATGAGGCACTTAACAAAGATTTGTGCATTAAATTTGATCACATTATGAAAAAGCATGTAAGAGTTTATGTACATGTATATTGCAAGGGTCTGAAGAAAGCCATGTGATATAAAACTGATAAAGATCTTACATGCACTGCACATAGAAATGAGTATGTGGGACAAATACACATGTACCACAAAAGTTTGGTCCAGAATTTTCAGCTATTTCATGTCTTATTTAAATATGAGGTCATTTGAATGTGAAGAGATATCATTTTCAGGGGACATTTGTAGAAAGATACCTTTTATGATATTCTTTCAAACTGAGCTCCCTCCTTAAAAAGAGGGAAAAAAACCCTCATTTTTACAAGAACTCCATCTTTTCTTTACAAATAATGAGTTGTATCTATTAATATGTTCAGTTTGTTGTTCAGAACTGATCTAAGAGATCATCTACATTATCAGTCTCTGTCTGACTCTTCTCTCGCGATGGAGTTTTCCTCATAGAGGGTGCCCTTGATGTTGAAGGAGTCCTGTAAACAAACACAGAAAGGGAGAGCTTAATGTATGCTTGTACTATAAACATGGTGAATGTAAGATTTACACAGTCCAATGAACAGACAATGCTGCAGTTTATGATATCTCGCATGTATGGTGCTTTTGTATTGTCTTTGTCAGGCTCATTTTTGATCCATTGTAACACTTTTATTTTGTCACTTATTAATCCATAAAGCATTAGCACGGTGGTTAATATGAATCTCAAATTTGATTTCTAGAGAGATTTTATTTCATGTCTATATTCAGATGTCAAGTGTTACATAAGGGTTATTCCATGAGGTTTGGGCAAAAAATATGATCATGTCCATGTAATGTGGGTATGAGATCTTCTACTACACATGGCAAATGAACTCATCTCAAGAAGATTTTTATGTAATGAAAAGAAACAGTAGTGCCCTGCCAAAAACAATGTGTCAGTTGTCTTGTTCAAATTGTTTGCTTGATATGCATATATATATATATATGAATATACGACAATAAAAATATATACATGTAAAATATGATGATAATATTTTCAAAGTCAAATCAAATCTTTACTTGACAAAGCTCCAAGGGCGAAAATTTGTTTTAAAAATCCTCCTAATATGAATCTTCACTATTTTTCGTTTTGAAGTCTGAGCATAAATCTTGATTTTTTTTTTCTATGCACATATATATATTTAATCCAGGTTAAAAGGGACATTGTGAAAAGCAGTTTTGTATCTGAAAATGCTACCCTGTAAAAATAAATTTGATACTGTCCGGGTGCTTACCCAATAACAGGTGTTGTCAATCACCAGGATTAGCCTAACCAGCACGCCTTATGTAATGCTTCGACTTTTCCCTCCCCTGAAAACACTTTGAGAGACAAGGGGGGTATTTCTTGATTGGCCTAAGGGTTTGCTGTGTGCAGACTTGTGCACACATTAATGGTATTTCCATCAAGTCTGGTCTCAGCGAATTCTAGCCTTCTGCACATGGAAACTGACAACCCACTCTCTATAAGAAAGGAATGTCTTACCCTGAAGAAGGCACTTTTAGGGATGGCAGGTTTCTCTGACGTAGCGGTCTTTCTAGATGTTGGCTCTCTTCTTCTCCTCCTAAAATTTAAGACAAAATAATATTCTCATTTTCCAACCAATAGCCAAGGTTTTACTGACAGTTTACTTATCATCCTCTATTCAATCTTTTTCCTTAACCCATTTTATACGGTAACCGGGCCGCACCTGCATCTAAGGCGTTGGGAATGATAAAATCAAGTCAGCAATCATCCTCAGACCGCAATTAAGATCAGATTGAGAACTGGTCTACGTTTTTCAAAATAGTTTGTTTATTTCTCCATCTTTCTTATCCTTCAGTAGAAAGTACCTATACTTAATTAAACGGATTGCTTTTAAAGTGGCCTCATGTTTCAACTATTAGTAGAGAAAAAACAAAAGCATAAGCAAAAACAATGAAATCAACAGATACATGGACATAGGATAAAATCATTAAAGTTTGGGATATAGATTGGAGGTCATTTGGGGGGGGGGGGGGAGACTTTGGGGGGCTTAGTTTATATGGTCCTGAAATTTAAAAGCCAAGTCCACCCTGATATAGTAGGTTGCTTTTTTAATAAAAGCAGAACAAATAAGAGAAATTGGTCGGTGAAATTTGAGCAAAAAAAACAAACATTAAAAATAAGAAAGCTATGAATTTTTGAAGGCGCATCCAATCAACACAAATTGGCAATTCTGTGGCATCTCCTGAGAGGTCCCCTCCCATTTGCCCAGGATTAAAAACTTCCAAAATCTATATTTGACCTTCGGAAAATGTTCAGTCGTTTGATATAACCCCAGTATAAAACAAATCTATTCCATCATCAATAACTAAGAAAATTAAAGTTTATGAAATTTTCAGTACGGAACAAATTGGAGAGGAGCTCGCTTCAAATATACATAATTTTCTTATCTTTAATCGGATTTTGCTCAAACTTTCACTAATTTGTTTCTCTCTTGTTCTGCTTTTACTAAAACCAATTGATATCAGGGTGGATGTCCACTTTAAGGATATACATCAGCTAAGTCACTACCTTGCTTTGCTGGTTGTGTCTTCAGGTAACTCCTCATCAAATGTAACCGAATCATCTGACCGTTTTGTTCTGGTCTGAGAGGGCGCTGTAGTCTTCTTCTGCTTCTTCCGTAAGGATTCCTCTCTCTGTGGATGAAAATCAGAAAGTCTTGTTTTAAAAAAAAAGCAGTAAAACCGGGTGATTTTGATTCAGTCTACAACCAGTTCATCTACTTCTCCAATTGGTCTATTCCCATATGGTCTACATCCAGCCTGTCTACTATCCACATGATTTAATGTGACTCGGTAACATTGTCTCAGATTATGAAACAAAATCCTGGATTTAGCTCATGCTGCGATGATAATTATAAACAATTAGGTCAGTCAGGAACCCCATGACTTTTACAAGCTAATAGCCTATTTGATTGTCGTAATACACTTAAGATTGGAAATCGAAATCAAATTTCAGTTTTCCTAACAGTTTTTATTACACTACAGTCTATTGGAGAGAGTATGGTAAAACCTGTCATTCAAAGATTTTTACTTATTTGAAGCGCAATTTTTTTAGGGCTTCAATATTTAAGTAATATTGACTGCCTTCTGGGCAATACAACATATATCGCCCGAACCAAAGGTGAGGGTGATATATGACAAGTCGTATTGCCCTGAATTAGGCAGTCAATATTACTATCATTAACCACATCAGACATCTAGAGCAAACAAGAAACTCTTACTATCTTATACATGTACTCTTAAATTATGTAGGCTACACAGGGTTTCCTAGCATTAAAGTTGCAAAAACATTGTCAAACCAACACTGTGAATCCAGTGTTTGACAGATTTTCGATACACTGCAAACAGTGTGCCTAGGGTGTGATTGTTACGTCACAATAGAGTTCGCGCAAAGTGCGCATTTTCTTATACACGATGCGCGATGTAAATTACCGTAGCTGATGCGTAAATTACAGTAGCTGATGCGGGATGTAAAAACCAACTGGCTCTATATTATTGCCCACTAGTTTAACACGCATTTTGCCATTGCCTTTTCAGATCGGGCTAAAATATTTGTTCATTACTGTATAACCGTATTGACCGGCAAATTACACACAAAATCCCATTGACTTTTCTGAGCGTTCAATATTATTGTAGTTTTGTTGGCTTATCCATCAAACCTTGAGTTGAGTTGTACCGATTCAGATTCAGATCGCACCAAAATAGAACGAGTATAAAATTCCCCGCGTGCAGAACGATGACTTCCACCGTGCTGTGATATGGAGGCTGTTCACACCGGCAGAGATAGCGCGCTATCTCTCGTGGACCACCCCAAGAGATGCTCCAGTGGCACGCCGTTTTGGCGTGCCGTGGCTCGCTGTTGGGTGGGCCGAAACGACGTTGTACATTCCACACCGCATATATAGCGCAGATATCTCTGCCGGTGTGAACAGCCTCCATATCACAGACACCAATAGCACATAGGGCACATAGGACCTCCCCACCCCCATGATGACAGTACTACCTCCCCACCCCCATGACCGACAGCCCTCTCTTACCTGTCTCTTTTCGTCGGTATCATCATCTCCTAGATCCATCGCGTCATCGCTGTCACTCTTCATCGCTTCACTTCTATGATTTGAACTTTGACCTCCACTGTCATCATGCATAGTGGCAGCTATCAAAAATATAAATTATGCTTTATATAAAACATTGGCTAATAGACTGGTTTACTTACATATTCAAATGTCATGCATACAGTTTAAAGAAATGTACTTCTTGACAACCTAAAAGCTTGCCCGAGGCATGCCCGACATAGCAAAAAGTAGAGTATGCACTATGCAGACTTGATTTCAATTATTGTAGTTCATTCATAAATAACAGGTTAATTGAATGCAATGTCACTAGGTCCCCAGAAAAGAAACATCCATTAATTTGAATATTATATTATTTGAATATATAGTAAACCGGCCAATTGGTCATAGCCTTTTCTATACTACTTTAAAATTCATGACAGAACAATGTCCTAAGAAGATAACAAATTAATCCATATTTTAGGTTTTATGAATATGAAAACATCTAATGGCCCGGTCCCACTGGCCGATGGACACAAAACGTATGCATAAAGGACACAGCGGACGAGTAAAATTTTGGGAGTGATTCCATCCGTTTTCATCCGCTCCAGAAATGGACAAAATTTGCGAAAACAGAGCGGAAGTTCATCCGTTCTAAAAGTGGATGGATGCTTGATGGATAGAGTGTTTGAAACACATATTTCAAGCCCTTGATTTTCATCAAATCTGCTCTGTGTTTTAATCTAATATATAATTTTAAAAACAAAAAGAAACTCACCCAAGGGTCTTTCCTTCAGCTCTCTTATCTTTGCTTTCTTCTCATTTACTATGACTGCAAACTAGTGAGGAAGAAACATATAAACAGATAAGTTGCAGTCGCGGATCCAGGATTTTCCAATAGGGGGGGGGGGGCCGGATATTTGAAAATCGCGCAGACCGTTATTTCAACTCGACTTACCAATACTAACAAAGTTATTTCAAAAGCACTGTACCGGTACATACAAGCGGGTACAATTTTTTTTCTCTCTTGTCCGATATCAACATTCCCCACCCAAGTTTAAGTTATGTGCGAGCAATTTTTTTTTACATTTTCATCAGGGGGGGGGGGGGGGGGCTGAATCCACATGTTAAAATATTAATTTTCTGGGTTCACAATTTCGCGAACGAGCGAGCGAGCGAAAAATTGAGCATTATGTATGTTGTGAAAGTGTTATTTATCCCCAAAATACGCGAGATAAGACATAAAACAAATGCATATTCGGTCAGGTTGTAATTTTTAAATTTGCGGGGAAAGAGAGGCTGTACCCCGCATTAACTGCAAGAAATGAAATTTGAATGCCTGTGGAGTAGATAAAGAAACAGCTCTAGCTACAACCATGATTACATGAGAGCTTCCATTTTTTGGAAATCCAGAACAATTAAACTCTTGTGGTGTTATATCTGTGTTTCATGACTGTCAAAATATATTTAACACTTTCTTTGTATCTTTACATATTTACATTCATGAATGACTTCATCACTAACGGTTCGCTTAAAAATACGATCGTGCCGAGTTGTTCGCTACAACCAATATTGCAATGTGAACTTCCTTTTATTAGGAAATCCAGAACAATTAACTTGTGGTGCTTTATATGTGTTTCATGACTGTCAAAATATATTAAACACTTTCTTTATATCTTTGCTTTGCTTGGGGTCCAGGGGAAAAAGCCGCAGCGGGGGGTCAAGGGGCAGACCCATCGGAAGCTCAGGAGTTCAGTTTAGGAATTTAATTACGGTCAGATGAGCATATTTTGATACCTTATTTATACCTTATCACTAATTAGCCCAGGGTCCAGGGGACTGAGCCCCATGAAGCTCAGGGTTTTAGGCATTTAATAATGGTCAGATGATTTAATTGCGGTCAGATGGGCATATTTTGATACCTCATTAATTTTGTGGCACTGGCAGGTCCAGGCGCGGATCCAGGATTTCTTAGGGGGGGGGGGGGGCCCAAATTTGAAATTTTGCGAGCCAAATATTGGTATGTAATGGTGACCAACAGTGACGTAATGCGGGGGGGGGGGGGTCGGTGCAGGGAGGGGCGATTTTCCCCCTCCCTCCTCCGCGAAACGCGGAAGCTTTGACGTTTCATTAAATTATTAGAGAAAAAAGACGATTCGTTGCACCGTTTTCGAAAATAATTCTCGTCTGAATTTAGTTTTCCCCCTCCCGCGCGAAGCGCGGAAAATTTTACGATTTATTAAATTATTACAGAAAGAAGACGATTCGTTGTCGAGTTCTCGACTCTTTATCCTCGTCTGAATTTAGGTTCCCCCCTCCCGTGCGAAGCGCGGAAGCTTTTACGATTCATTAAATCATTAGAGAAAGAAGACGATTCGTTGTACCGTTTTCAACTCTTAATCCTTGTCTAAATTCAGTCTCCCGCGCAAAGCGCGGAAGCTTTTAAGTTTCACAAGATTATGAGAGAAAGAAGACGATTGGCTGTACAGTTCTCGACTCTTAATCCTCGTCTGAATTTAGGTTCCCCCCCCTCCCGTGCGAAGCGCGGAAGCTTTTAAATTTCCTTAAATCATTAGAGAAAGAAGACGATTCGTTGTCGAGTTCTCGACTCTTTATCCTCGTCTGAATTTAGGTTCCCCCCTCCCGTGCGAAGCGCGGACGCTTTTACGTTTCATTAAATCATTAGAGAAAATAGACGATTCGTTGTACCGTTCTTGAAAATAATCCTCATCGGAATTTAGTTCCCCCTCCATCCCGCGCGAAGCGCGGAAGCTTTTACGTTTCATTAAATCATTAAAGATTCGTATTACCGTTCTTGCCTCTGAATCCTCGTCTGAATTCAGGTTCCCCCCTCCCGCGCGAAGCGCGGAAGCCTTGACGTTTCATAAGATTATGAGAAAAAGAAGACGATTCGTTGTACCGTTCTCGATTCTTAATCCTTGTCTGAATTCAGTCCCCCCCCCTCCCCTCCTGCGCGAAGCTTTGACGTTTCATTATATTATTAGAGAAAGAAGACGATGCGTTGTATCGTTCTCTATACTCTTAATCCTTGTCTGAATCAGGGGCCGTCTTAGGGCCCCTGGGGGGGAGGTCGAGGCGGCGGAGCCGGCCCCGGAAGCTCAGGGGTTTTAGGCGTTTAATTAAGGTCAGATGAGCATTTTTTTGTATACCTTATTATTTTGTGAGACTGGCACGTCACTATCTGGCGTGGGGTCCAGGGGGCGGAGCCCCAAAAAATCAGGGGTTTTAGGCATTAAATTACCGCCAGATGAGCATCTAAGGGCCCGCCGTAGGGCCCTAGGTGAAATCCAGGGGGCAGAGCCCCCGGAAGCTTAGTGGTTTTAGGCATTAATCACGGTCAGATGAGCATATTTTGATGCCTCATTATTTTTCAACACTGGCAGTTAACTATTCTTTCTTTCTTGCTCTCATTCTGTTTTATTTCTCTTTAATATACTTTTTCAAAAAAGTAGGGGGGGGGGGGCTCGGGGCGCCCGATCCCCGCCGTACCTCGGGCCCAGACATGTAGGAATCTACTAAAAAGTGAGGAAAAATCTCGGAAATTATGTCATTTCAGCATTATTTGTAATCCCCCGTTGTGGAATTAGAAATAAACCACGTTTGAATTTGATTTCCCCCAAGCCCCCCCCTATCAGTACGCCAGTATCTCCTCTTTTCCTTTTTTCTTTCCCTTTCCTACCTTCTCTCTTATTTTTTGATTGGGGGGGGGGGGGGGGGTCAACAGCCTGGGAGGCAAGGCCCTTTCGCCTTCCCCGATCTCCTTCTTCCCCCTTTTCTTTTCTTCTTCCTCTTCTTTCTTTCCCTTTCTCTCTTCTTTCTCTTTCCCTTTTTTTCCTTTCTTCTCTCTCTTTTTTTTTTTTTTTTTTTTTTGCGGGGGGGGGGGCCAAGGCCCGCTCGGCCCCCCCCCCTGGATCCGCGCCTGGGCAGGTCACAATTTTTCTTTCTTCCTTTCTTTCTATTTTAATATTTTACACATACTTTTTTCTAGTGAGGGGGTCGCTTGAGCCCCCAAGCCCCGCCGTTCCTCGGGCCCTGACATGTGCCCATGCCTTGAGCCATAATGTATGGCCGTACAGAGGATTTTTTCATGTTGGGGACCGGGGTAAAATGCAATGAATTATTGATAATTTATTGCATTTTGTTATTTTTTTTTATTTGTGGGAACTGCCCCCTACCCTAGCCCCCGCTGCGTACATTCATGGTTCAGTGGCAAAGCAATGGCCTCGTAACTGTGAGGCCCCAGGATCAAAACCGTGTCGATGTGCCATATTAGTGCCCTTTTGTGGGGCATTAATCCTCATTACTGTCATTTATGACTTAAGGGCGTAGGTCCCATAGTTGATAAGCATATTAGCATACACATGCTTTGGCAGTCACGCAAAACAAACACTGGCAAATCATTATTCAATAATATCTGAGAATGTATACTATTATCTAGATCTATTAGGAATAAATCATTGTCAAAATAATTCCATAAATTGGGGTAAAAAATAAATATTCCAACGTTATGAGCGACAGTTTATATTCTCATAGTAATAACATATTGTTTTTTTATCATAATCATACCTTGTCACATCAATACTATATCATATCGTTTCTTTTCATAAAAAACATTATATTCTTGCATCACATGATATCGTATCTTATAATAAATATTTTGTTATCATTTCGTGCAATGTTAAGTCAGGTGATATCACATGAATGCAATAACATAAAGATATCATATTTAGATCATGATCATATTATGTTATGTAATATCAATCATTATCTCCTTGGTATCATGATATTCATATGATCGTGCTGATAAAGTGTAAATTTGATTTTTTTCAATCGTTAAGAGTTCATTTTACTGTACAAGTGTTGCCGTAATTATATGTCGCAATTATAATTTTGAAATATGAATGTAAATGTATTTATTCCTGTTATATTCTGGCCCGTTTCCTTGGTCCAGTGGTCAAGACATTGGCGTTCTAATAGCCAGTGACCCTTGTTCGATTCCCGGCGGAGTCATTTTTCCACATTCGCAATCAATTCCGAAAAGGGATGACAGCAACTAAAAGTATCTAGGAAATCAATGTATTTCCCTGGCTTTGGATTTCTTTTTTGTCTTCGATTTTCATACTTACTTTCAAAATAATCTTTCAACCTTAAATTCCTGCAAAATTCAGAATCATCTTATTTTTATGAAACTGCGGACGTAGTAAAAAAGTTAATTTCAAGGATTTGTATTTCAAATGTTTTAATCAGCATTAATATACTCTCTTAGCTTAGGTTAGATAGAAACTTTATAATGGAAAAATATGCATCAGTATTAACAAACTTGACACTTCTGTGGCGTGGGAAAGTGGTGTACCTTATTGTTCAGTGCTATCGTAAACAGACAGTAAGGTGGCAATTTAATTGTACTGAAAATTCAATAACCAACAGATGGAGCATCCTCTTTTATACAAATATTGTTGTATTAACAACAAAAAAATCCACACTGTAGGCCTAGGCATACATGTACATCACACGCAATAGATCCAAGATTTAATACCGGCGAGAGCCCCCCCCCCCCCACGTTCGGAATCGAATAGGGCTGCTGCTATCAGGGGCGTAAATCACGGGGGGATGGGGGGCTGCATCCCCCCTGGCTTGAAGTAGGGGGGATGGCCTGTACAAACATCCCCCCCTGATATTACCCAAAAAAAAGAGAGAAAAAAAAAGGAAGAAGAAGAAGAAAAAATGTGATGGTTTCAATTTCAGCATTATGCATGAGAAATGAGTTATTTTTTATGTATGTATAACTGTATAGGCTACACGCATACAGTATTTCACCATCATTAA